ATTCATTCACTCACTTATTTTAAAATTTTATCTCTCTTTCTCTCTCTCTCTCTCACACACACACACACACACATACATACACAGAGAGAGAGAGAGAGAAAGAGAGAGAGAAAACGTGAAAAAGCAAGTCACCAGGTCCGGGACTCGAACTGTGGTCAGCTATGTGAGAGTGTCCAGAGCCTTAGCCACTATGCCATCTGCTGTCCCAGGTAAGTCAGTTTTTAAGTTAAAAATCAGAATGAATTGGGGCCAGCAGGTGACATGGTGAAGGCACTGAATGCCCACATGGCCAATACAGTTAAGTTTCTGGCACAGTGGCTTAAAAATCATGCCTGGCGCTGGGTGTGCATTTCCAAAATCCCTAGAGGAGAACGGAGAGGAAGAAACTGCAGCATGGCCATCCCCCTGGGGAGTTATTTCCCATTTTTACTCTCACCATCTCTCTCTCTCTCTCTCATCGAGCACATGTGCCCCATGGCAAAAAGCTATAGAAAAAAATTGAGTTATTTTGTCATAGAATTCAAAATTATACACATGAGAAAATTTAATTAGCTTCAGAATCTTAAAAATTGTTCACTATTAGCCTAAAAGTCCTTCTGATGTTGAAAATTTTGTTACGATTTGTGCTTCAAAACTCTGTAGTACAACTATTTCAGTTATATTAACCACTATTGTCTAAGGGTTACATCTTGGAGGAAGCCAGGCTTCTTCACCTTTAGTAAGGAGTTTCTGCTCCCCTAAATCTCTCCTCCTAGCTTCTACTACTACATAATGTATCACTCCAAAGCTTATGTTTTTTGTTTAAAGGTAACATTTATTTTAATTGCAGTTGTTAAGGTGTGGTTGTTGAGAGTGGGTATTTTATTTATTTATTTTTTCTTGCCAGAGAGAGAGAGAGAGAGAGAGAAAGCACACTTGCCTACCCACCCCAATATGATGTGACCATGCTGCAGTCTTTCTTCCTCCATTTCCCTATCCTGTCAGGATTTGGGGCACACAGGCACATGCGCTCGGCGTATTTTTCACATCACTGAAGCCAGGATTGCAACTGTGGTTGGCCACTGGGTCCCTATGCACGGCATTTAATCACTGCACTATGGGGCCAGTTCTCTTAGAGGTAACTTTTAACTCGGCATATAAATATTGTTCTCTATTATCCAAAGCTGTGCATTTTAATGATCAGTTAAATGTTAAGTAAGCTGTACTTTAAACATTTGCTCTTATCCAACTTTTATGAAGACAACAATAATCTCAGATCGGAATCAAATAAACTTCAGAACTCAGTTTGAGAGAAAAGGAAAAACTTTAGTTAAAATCTTTACAATAAAATAATTATGATTATAAATCTCTTTAGTTAAATATATACACATTGCATGGTATTTTAAAAAAGAATGGAAATGGATAAAGTTTTTCAGGCAAATCTAATGCACAAATACACCATCTTTTAGAGTATAATGTATGTCAGTTTAACATTCTTTAACAGCTGTGTCAGATAATGGCTCTGCTTTGTGCAAAACATGATAAGCAAAATTAAGAAAAATCTTGCAGAATTACTTTAGTTCCCCAAGGAAATTACTAAGAAAAAAAGTTAAAGAAAAAAGGTTGTACACTCAAGCTTGATTGTATACAGAGGCTAGAATGACCAGCACTGAAGTAATCCCCGTATCTGTTAAGTCCTTGGGTAGTTTTAGTCTGAAGTAAAAACGTGAAGTCCTAGCAATTGTGCTTTTATGCAGCCACGTGGCCAATAAGGTAGATGTTGTCGTAAAGGTGCCCTACAAAATCTTCACTAATGTTTTGAGCAGCACGGCGGGTATTTCGAATAAATTCTCTTTTTGACATTTTATTCTTCACATGAGGGCTAGTGAGGTCAATAGAAAGTAGAATCAAAGAGTAGCACAGTACATAGACAGCATCTGGAAGAGAAAAGAAACACTTCCAATTATGAGCTGGTTTAAAAAATATGATCCCAAAGGCATTTTATAAGGCAGAAATATTCACAATATTGAGGTAAGATCATAGCTAAACGTAGGGTTTCAATCCAGCCCAGCTGGCCTGGGACCTTCCAGTTTAGTATTGAAAGTTTTGCATCCTGGAAATCCTCCAGTCCTGGGACCGTTACTGTAACTGAATACTAATTCTTCAATTTAAAATAACTTTACAATTGTTTATACTGAAAACTCATTCTGTACTTGAAATTTTAGAACTGACTTTATTTTCATTTTTGCTTTCAGATGTAATATTTCCCCTCAAATATCTATGAAATAAATAAATAAATTTGTATGAAATATATCTGTATTATCAGTATATTTCTATCCCTATTCTAAAAAAACAGCAACGTATCTACATAAATGCTTATACAAAAGCCTGCCTGAATTTTGAAAGCATCTTAAATGACAAGAAAATACACTTGGTATTTGGTATTTGGTACTAGAAAATGTAAAAATCCATAAGATTATTAAATTATTATTTGTTCTTTAAATATCCATGGCATTTACATAATATTGGGTCAGCAGAAAAGACATATATTTTTATACGTTTTTCCATGCAAAAATGAGTCGTAAGTTTTCCAACCCAATAATTTCAAGGGTCAATCTTTAGGGAAAAGATTGCAATGCTTGAGCATCATGCAACAAATAATTTTATTCCTTATATATGCTCAGGGCAATATTTGATGTTTAATATTAATATTAAAATTAAAATTGGGACCAACAGTTGGCGTAATGGCTATGTTGCTGGACTCCTGCGTGGTTGACTGTGGTTTGAGTCCTGGACCCGGTGGCTTAAACTCACGCTGAGCACGTATGCATGCATGCCCAAGATCCTGAAAGAAGAATGGAGGAGAAGGGATTGCAGCGTGGCCATCCCCCCAGGGAATGACTTCTTGTTTTCTGTCTTTCTGTCTCTCTCTGTCTTTCTGGTGAGCACATGTGCACTATAGGAAAAACCTCTCCAAAAAAAAAAAAAAAAATTAAAATAGTAAGAAATATATTTGCTACTATAACATTTTTATTTTGGAACCCTACAGTCTTAAGAGAGCTAAGTTAAACATTATGTCTTGTAAAGCAGGTTCAACACATTTCACATCATAGGTAAATGTTTCGTAATCTCTGCAGCACGGCGGGTATTTCGAATAAATTCTCTTTTTTGATATGAACAGATTAAATAAAGCTATATCAAATTTTAATTTTAGAAATCTAGAAGGGGACCAGTATGTGGCAATGGATTCCCATATGGCTGACCATGATTCAGGTGTGGGCATGGAGGCTTGAAAATCACACTGGGTACATGTGCATGCATGCCCCAAATCCCAAGGAGAATGAAAAAGAGATTGTGGTGTGGCAATCCCTGCTTGAGGGTAAGGAGGTGATTTCTCACTTCCCCTTCTCTCTGTCTCTCTCTGTTAAATGCACATGCCGTATAGCAAAAACAAACAAACAAACAAACAAAAATCTAGAGGACACAGGCTATACTACACATGCACAAAAAACATATATGAAGGGTCTTCAAAACCTCATGAAAAATATGTATTATGAGAGAAAAAAACTGTATATACATTTAAAAAGTCTTTGTACCAAAATAAACCTATACTATTGTAACATATTTGACCAGTACTGAGGTTGAGGCAATAAGAAGGATAAGACATTAATTTGAAAGTGCCCTTATTATGAGAAACATGAACTCTGCTAAAAATAGATGCAAAGACAAACATCAAATTCTTGGTGAAACTTGGGTAGGAGAGTGGTAAAATCACTGATGCTTTATAAAAAGTTAATAGTGATAATGTCCCAAATAAATCAGCAGTTTACAAATTGATAACTTGTTTTAAGAGGGGATCAGACAATGTTGGAGATGATGCCTATAGTAGAAGGTCATCCACATCAATTTTGGAGGAAAATATTAATCTTGTTTGTGCCCTAATTGAAGAGGAATAACGACTAAGAGTAGAAACAAAGGCCAACACCTGACATCGTAATTGGTTTAGTTTACACAGTTCTGACTGAAAAATTAAAACCAAGCAAACTTTCTGCTTGATGGGGGCCCAAAGTTTTGCACCCAGATCAGCTTCAAATAAGAGCATAATTTTTAATGAAAACTTTAAAGAATTATTTTATTTATTTTTATCATTATTTAGTTTGATGAGAAAGAGAGAGAGAGAGGGATATAGAGAGAGAAAGTGAGAAAGCAAGCTGCCAGGTCCAGGACTTGAACTGTGGTCAGCCATGTGGGAGTCCAGCGCCATAACCATCATGTAACCTGTCAGCCTCTTTAAATGGAAATTTTAAACAAGTGGGATTAAGATTCTGAAGCTTTTTTTTTTTTTAAAGTGTTTTTTGCAATAGGATGTGTGTGCTCAACAGAGAGAGAGAGAGAGAGAGAGAAAGAGAGACAATGAGAGGGAAAGTGAGACATCACTCCCCAGGGGGAGTAACCACACAGCAATCCCTTCTCTTCCATTCTTCTCCTGGGATCTTGGGCATACACAAACATGCACCAGGTGTGATTTTTTTTTTAAGCTACTGGGTCCAGGATTCAAACCAAGGATGGCCATGTGGGAGTCCAGCAATGTAAACTTTATGCCATTTGCTGGCACCCTGAAGCATTTCTTGGAAAAATTATAACAGGAGATGGCACGTGGCTTTTCTAGTATAACCCTGAAAACCAAGCATGATCAAAGCAATGACTGCCATGGAGAGAAAAATGGTCTAAATAAAGCAAATCAGTCAAGAACAAAGGTCCTGGCAACAGTTTTGGGGATCCTCAAGGCATTTTACTTGTTGACTTTCTGGAGAGCCAAAGAATCGTAACATCTGCTTATTATGAGTGTTTCAAGAAAGTTAAGTGACGCTTTGGAAGATCTCCCAGGAAAGCGCCATCAGAGAACCCTTCTCCACCAGAACAAAGCTCCTGCTCATTCCTCCAATCAAACAAGGGTAATGATGGAGAGTTTCAATGGGAAAATCATAGGCATCCACCTCACAGTCCTGATTTGGCTATTTCTGACTTCTTTTTGGTTTCCTAATTATAAAAAAAACCCAACAAAACAAAACAAAACAAAACAACTTTAAAGGGCAGTGATTTTTCCTCAGTAATCAACATAAAAAAAAAAAAAGACTGCCTTGGCATGATTAAATTCTCAGGACCCTGATTCTGTAGGCATGGTCTAAATGGCTGGTATCACTTACCACTTAAATGTGATGGAGCCTATGTTGGGAAAAATAAAGTTTATATTCTTAATTTTTATCCATAATTTTATTTTCACAAACTTTGAAATCTGTCTCTCTATATATTTATTTACATACACACACTATAAAATTAGTTGTATTTAAATTATTTTCAGTAAAAAATGGTGTTAATTATGTGACATCTAGTTTACTAGAAGCTTTAAAAATAATTTTGCACATTTTCAATTAGATCAGTGAAATATTCAACACTAAAACAAGAATAATTTTAATGAACTATGTAGCTAAGTCTAACTTTCTTTCTAAAATACTTTAATTACCATGTACACAGCAGCTATGACAAACTATTCATTTTTTTCTAATGTGTATTTACTTATTTCTTCTGAGGGAGGGTGTGAGAGAGGAAAAAGGAGAGAGAGAAAGGGAGACACAAGCACTCCCAGAAGGTTCTTCATGCTGTGATCCCCCACCCCATCTCAGCCTGTCTAGATCACAGCTGTCTGTACATGCGCCTGGTATTCTCAGAGGTTCCAGGATATGACCCCAGGACCTTTCCCATAGGGGTACAGTTGTGTTACTGTTGTGCCACCTCCTAGTCTCTAAAGTATTCTTTCTTTTCTTTTTTCCAAGAATTATTTTATTTAACTTTATTACTTTTGATTTGACCAGAGAGGGACGGGGAGAGAGAGAGAGAGAGAGAGAAAATAAGCCGCCAGATCTGGGACTAGAACAGCAGTCAGCCATGTGGGAGTCCAGTGCCCTTACCCACTATGGCACCTGCTGGCCCCTGTCTAAAGTATTCTTTCTAAGCTCACACTAAATGATATATTACATAGAAGTAGCCCCACTACAAGCAGTAAAACAAGTATTTGTAATTATCAGAGGTGTTTTCCCCCACAATGAGGAAAATGTCTCATACACTACAATTTTTTTACCTGGAAAGGAGGGAGAGCGAGAAAGAGAAAGTAAAATACCATATGCATTCTTACCAGGACTAAGGCCAAGTTCTCGCATTAAATCAGGGTTACAAGCACAAAACCTATGTGAGAACTTTGTTATAAGAGTTTCAAGATATTCCCCACGCTCTTCAGGGGCATGGATATGACGAAAAAATTCTCTCAGTGCATTTGGCAAGAACTGATTTCTAAAATTATGCAAGGTTACGAGGTCGTCCAAGACATCTCTCCTAAAAAGAGAAAAAGGTAGCATTAGTTAAAGTTTTACTATGAAAAAGAGTGATAAGAAAAATCATGAACTGTCATTTTTTTGATACAAATACTTTATTAACAGACAAGCTAAACCTGTAAGATTATATATACCTCTTAAAATTAAAAAAAATCTAAGTATGATTACTTAAGAAGTGTAAACAATTGTGAAATCTTTTTTTTTTTTAGACAGATTTTTGCTATAGGGTGTATCCACTCGCTGGAGAGACAGATAAGACAGACAGACAGAAAGCGAGAGAAATCACTCCCACGGCAATCCCTTCTCCTCCATTCTCCTCTCAGGATTTTGGGCACGTACGCACATGTACACAGTGTGAATTTCAAACTGCCAGGTTTGGGACTTGAATCACGGTTGGTCATGTGGGAATCCAGTGATGTAACCATTATGTCACCTGCTGATCTCATTATTGTGAAATCTTTTATGAAAAGGTTACAACAAAACAAAATAAGGTTAAGTTAGCAATTCTACTTAAAAAATGAAAAAAATTTTGTACTATTAAAAAAGGCAGCTTTGGGTCAGTTGGTGGCATGGTGAAGGTGGCTGCATCCCACTTGGCCAGCTGTGCTGTTTGAGTCCTGGAACTGGAAGACATGCTAGATGTGAGTTCATGTATGGCCAAAACCCTGAGAAGAGAATGGGAGAGACAGGACTGCGGTGTGGCCATCCCCCCAGTGAGGATGCTTTCTCACATTCCTTCTTTCTCTCTCTCTTTCTCTGCAGGTACACATACATGCTCTACAGCAAAATTGAAAAGAAAAAAAAAAGGCAAAAAGGAAACTTCTTTGTTAGTATCTTCTTACTTAAATCCAAGTAGCACTAACATTCTTTATTTCTGTTTTAATTATGAAAGTTTTCAGCTACTGCACTAATTCACATCTCCAGAGGTAAAATCTACTTACATAGATTTAAAAAATGTCTACATGTACCACACAATGTTTTATAACTTCCTTTTTTCATATAATATATTGCTAACAACTTTCTGTATCTTTACACATAGATCTGCTTCAGTCTTTTTAATGTCTCCACAGTATCCCATCTTAGGGATGTAGCAATCTTATCAATACACAAATAATTTGCAATTACATAAATACTTTCGTTTGTATATATCTTTAAGCTTTTAATCAATAGCATTCTAGTATATAGTCATGCTTTATTAAAATACTTTCCAGTTCTTACTGAACTCAATCATTTTTTTATGATAATAATCTTCAATTTTTACCAACTGTTTATAGCAGAGATAAGCAAACAAGTTAGTGGGCATGCTGGCTGTTTTTATACATGAAGTTTTATTAGAACATACTAATACCAATTTTTTTACATATTGTACACGTCTGCTTCCACAACACAATGGCAGAGTTGTAAGCAGCTGCAACAGAGAGCATATGACCAGCAAAGCTTAAAATATCTAAACCAGAAAGATCTAGTTCTTAGGAAGAAAGCTGATTCCTTGGTACCCAGCACATAAGTACAAAATGTTGGGGCCAGCAGGTGGTGTAGTGGTTAAGGTGCTGGACTCCCACAGGGCGACTGTCGCTCAAGTCCTGACTCCAGCAGCTTGAAATTCACACTGGGCACATGTATGTACGTGTCCAAAATCCTGAGAGGAGAATGGAGGAGAAGGACTGCAGCGCAGCCATCCCTCTAGGGGGCAATTTCTCATTTTCTGTCTTTCTGTCTCTCATGAGCATGTGTGCTCCATAACAAAAATCTATCATGAAAAAAAAAAAAAGTTAATGCCACCATCTTTATGAAAGAAAATTTTTCTAATGAACAGTATTCTGAATCATAAACTCCTCAAAGACAAGGATTATATCTTAACCAATAATTTATGTACTCTTATTGTCTTGCAAAGTTTCCAGAATATGATGAGTATTTGCATATTATTGTTGAAAAATCCTGAGAAATAAAAAAGATTGAGAATTACAGTAAAAAGCAGACACTAGTATGAGATCTAAAATTTTAAAACGGTGGTTCAGGGATGTCACATCAAAATGTTGTCCCAATCTTTTTATGTCTATTAATAACTAGAATTAGAGTACAAGTAAATGACTAGCAAACCAAATAGCATACTAGCCATTATTTCTGTCTGTAAAATACATTATTAAAATGCCACATTTTCAGAATTCTCAAACTTGAACATGACACTTCTGTGTGGCATTTACCTGCAAATATATACACATCAAATGTTCCCAAATTTGTGGGTTTATAATTACAATTTGTATGAGATTTTTATATGAACAATTTTAGAATTTAGAGCTTTTGGTTATCTAAACAGTTAAATTAACTCCATTAAAAAGTCAGAGCTGTAGTTTCTGCAAAAATACTTGATGATCAAACTTGCAGTGCAGTGGTTAAGGGCTGTGCGTTGGGAGTTAGAAGCTATATGGCTGTCTGCGGTTCTTCTCTCAGTCACAGCAGCTTGAAAAATACTCTAGGCACACGTGCGTACATGCCCCAAATTCTGACAGGTTGGAGGAACACAGAAAAAATGATTGTGGTGTGACCATGCCCCACTAAGGGGGTTTTCTTTCTCTCTCTCTTTCACAAGCACACACATCCTCTGGCAATAAAAATACGTTGATTTGCTATTATGAAGATGTTGGGCTTCCATTTTTTGCGGGTATATAGTTTTTTTTTTGTACCCACAATGCCAACTTTTTCATCAGCATGTTAAAAGTCCACAGAAGAAATGATATGTAAGATACAGAAAACTTTTCCCTGTCATTACTCAGTTTTACAACTAGATAATTGCTATGTAGTGTAGTTTTCAAAGTTAACTTGTCAAAAGCATTACTTAACTCGTTTCTGATGACAACTTAATTTTTTTTTTTTTTTTACCTTTCATCAAGATAGATTCTCAGTTTTTTCCAGTTTAGTGTTCTTGTACAGAAGATAAACTTTGCTATTTCCTTGGGTGAATCATCTAGGATACCCTTGGACATAAAGTAGTTCACTCCCTAAGGCAGAAAAGCAAGTCAACATAAATAAAACCAATCCTTATTTATGAATTTTAACATATAGGCAATAGCAGTACAATAGCTCTAAATTCTTTCCAGCATTAATAGGCTTTTATAGTTGTATCATGCAAAATACAAGCTAGAACTTGAACTGAAACTATTATTTGTGGCTGATAGTTTACATGCAATGAAAAGTAGGAAATTCAAAGTTAAGACTCCTAAAGAAATCTTAATTTAATTTTTGACCTATTTCAGGTAAAACTATACAGAAGTATGGCTTAATTGCTGGAGGTGGGAGGAGATGCAGAAGAAACCACAATAAAGACTTTAAAATAAGCCTTGTAACAAAAACTTCTCCTGCCTAATAAAAAAACATGACTTCTTAAAGCTCAGGTACATACTCGCATATGTTTTTTGAAGAAGAAGAAGAAGTAGAAGGAGGGAGAGGGGGAGGGGAGGGAGAAGAGCAGGAGGAGGAGAAGAAGAAGAAGAAGAAGAAGAAACTCTAAATCAAAGACTAGTATTTTTTTTTTCTGGGAAAATAATAGTAAGTTATTTTACTTATAGTAGGCCCAGCTCTACAGTGGTTAAAGGGTTGAATTTAAGTATTGCTTCATTCTATGAGTCTAGCTACAATACACAAATGAGGTGAACATAGTATGACAAACAATTTCAATGGTTTTCGTAGGATTTATCTTTGAATTTCCTTTTCTCTGCATGCAAAGTTTTCCAGAGAAGCATTACCCATAAATCTGTACCTACTTTCATTTATAACAACAACCACAAACATCAACAAAATAATTAAATGCTGAAACCAGTATTCTCTCACATACATGGCAGTCACATTCAAATAGATGTCTTAGGTGGATTTGAATGTGTAGGTATTGAAATAAAAGGCAGGTTTGTTTATTTCAACTTGCAGTTATCCAGATACACACATTCCCATGAATGCTAATGTCTGGATACTAGCACACTGTGTGCAGTTAATTGGGAGAGAAAATGATGTATTATATACACAGAACATACTGTTTTCACACATAAATTCCTTCAGCATTTCTTTACTTTATAAGCACTTACATGGTACTCAGAAATGTTGCATGTATTAAGAATTTTAAAAGTTGGGAGAATTTGTATAAAAGACTCTTCAAGATGAAAACTTTGTCATAAAATTTCTGTATTAAAAAATTTAAAAAGCAACTTGGTAATGCTTTTGAAAGGCTATAATTACCTATAAAGTATAATTCTAATATAAGACTTTTTATATAACACTAACTTGGTAAGCAATCAGTATAATATCCTAACAGGTAAATTATATTTCATGCAAATTTTAATAGTACAAAAGGAATGCTAAGGCCCAGATTTTTAAAAAGTACATAAAAGAGAGCAGAGTGTGAAAACATGAATCTTGTCAACTCAACTGAAAGCCATATTTCAGACTGAATCCTGGATTTGGGGCTAGAAATTATGATATAATCAAGACTGAAAGCCAAAATATGTATTTATTTGGAATGACGCCCTCAGCAACTCCCTGAGGGGGCAAGAACTAAAGAAATATTAATGCTTGTTCCATCCTTTCCTCCATTAGTTTGAATAACGAGAGTTGACTGTATATTTAATTGATCAGCTTAGCAAAGGTTAAGTCCAATTTAATTGTTTCCAAAGTTCCTCGGATTAAAAAAATAATAAAAATTTAGAATCATTTCCAATGTTTAATTTTAATCAAAGTGAGTTTAAGATAAAAAATGTCAATTAAGTACTATTTAATAGATTCTTTATCCATAACTGAATCAGTATTTAATCCTAATTTTAAAAATTATGTAACATAAACAAACTCACTAATAATATCCATTAAATGGCATTTCTTAATAGTTATCTAACTACATGATACCAGCCATTTTAATATCATCTGATGCTACTTAGTTCTAAAATAACATTGATATTTGCTTCATGTAAGCATCACAATACGCTGTTGGTTCTTTCCTTTTTTATGGAACACGTGTTGTGAGAATTTAATATCTAATGCAACCCAAGTTCTACAAAATCAATCAAACACATAGGAATAAGCACATAAACAATCAAAGAGTTTTAAACTCAATCCTGAAAACTAAGAATATAGCTTGAAAGAAGCTAACCTTTTTGTTTTATAAAAAATGGAGAGGCATCAGTTTCAAGCTAGAATTTCTCTGGAGATAAAAAATTACTTTAGAAGGGCCATGAAAGTGAGTGGTAAAAAAAGACAACTTGGGACCAGACCATAATTGTCTCTAATAAGCAAGCTGGCAATGATCCAAATCCCTGGCTTTTTATGAAACAATGATATATATGTTTTAAAAAACACTGCCTGAGATCTGTTGAAAAACTGTATAGTTGCCTAATAAATGGTGTAAGTGTTTTTATTCTTTAACAAAGTTTTAGAAGAATGGTACAGAAAGATTCCTAAACTGGGAAGTATGTTAGTGATCTGTTAAGAATAAAACTCTCAGCGGTGTGTGTGCATGTGTGTGTGTGCAGGTGTGCACATCTTGCATAGTGCCTTACAGGTGAAGGAAGTCATGGACGCTAATATTAGTCTATACTGAGATTAATGCATGTTATATAAGAAGTGTTAAGGGATGTGGGCTAACAAAGAGAATGTTTAGGAAAAGGTTAAGACATCTGAAAGGCTGTGTCACAAGAAAAAGGAACAGACATTGTGTGTAGTTCTAGTGAAGATCTTAAGCTCTTTTTTTGGGCCATGGACCCTTTGGGAAGGCTATACAAGTTCTCCCCAGAATACTGGATGCATGCATTTTTAAAACTGACATTAAATACCTCCAGGTTAGAAATCTCTATGCTAGGTGCGTGAAGGCACACAGGCAGCATCAGTTATAGGCAGACAGGTTAGCACCTCCTAAGAAAGGGCATGTTTCCAACTACAGCTGAGTTGTTCAAAGACCAAGTCTATCACTTGTTTGGTTCAATTTTTTTTTTTTCCTTTTTCACATATCCAAAATAAGTATGAGCTTCAAACTACTACTCACTTTGTTTAAGCTATTTAAATTTTCACTCTCTTACACAAACTATTCTGTTCAACTTTTACAGTTATCTGAATTGTTGCAGTCATGGTGCCATTTTTTTTCAAGTGAGGAGAATTCGAAGACATTTTTGTTAGACAACTGACACAGATCATGATGGTGTCAGTCCTACAGAAGGCTATCTCCATAGGATAAAGATAAGCTCTTGTCAGCTGGAAGGAAACTACTGGCCAAAAAATAGTTTTAAAAGAAAATTATGGGAGGATAAATGAAATTCATATTATGAAAACACATTATGCCTCATATTTTGTTGGAAAATAAACTCATATATAATGTCTATGCAGCAGATTTTTTATTGCTAGAGGGCACATGCATTTGTCCCCATGGGACTTGGTCACACTACCATCCCTCCCCTCCATTTTTCATCCTGTCAGGGTTGGGGCACAAACACATGCCCCATATATATTTAAAGTCACCAGGGCCAAGATTCAAACTGTTGTCAGTCATGTAGAATTCAGCTCCTTTAACTACTAGTCTATGAGTCCAGTCCTATACTACAAATCTTAAACTTCCTAGTATTATGTCTTTCAGAAAGTATCCATTTGATTTTGTGCTTAGATATAAAAATGAATATTCAGACACTAGTTTATAAAAATGGTTATATATACATACATATGTATGTATATACATATATACACACACACACAAATATATCTATCTACTTTAAAGCTTTTCTAAAATATTATATCAAAACATATTATAATTATTTGCATATTTTTAAAATGCATTTTGTTGTTTGTTTTTGTTTTTGAGTGAGAGGAATAGTGATGTATTTTTGAGAGAGTTTTGTCTTTGGTGTCATAATCCTCTGTGCCAGTTTCTCAGTCAGAAAGCATTACAGGAGGGTACCATTGTACCTGGTATGTTCAGGGAGGTCTGGAAACTAAACCTGTGCCATTGTGGTAGGCCTGTCTACATATTCATTTAAAATACTGTAAACACAATGTACTATAAACAGGGTATTCAGTAACAGACACCGAGGTATTAAAAAAAGACTTTTGGGCTGCTTCCATAGCACGGCAGTTCTGTGCTATGCAGAGGGAGCCAGTTTGAATCTTGGCCCAAGTGGCTTAAAAACATGTCAGGCAGGTTGGGAACCAGCAGTTAGTATAATGGCTATGTCACTGGACTCCCATGTAGTCGACCGCAGTTCGCGTCCCGGACCTGGTAGCTTAAAACTCACGCCGGGTGCGTGTGCGTGCGTGCCCAAGATCCCGAGTGGAGAATGGAGGAGAAGGGATTGTGGCGTGACCATCCCCCCTGGGGGGTGATTTCTCGCTTTCTGTCTCTATGTCTCTCTGTCTGTCGGGCAAGCACACGCGCCCTATAGCGAAAACCTCTCAAAAAAAAACCAAGCAAAACAAAACATGTCAGACACATGCGCACATGCCTAAGATCCTGGCAGGATGAATAACTGGATACAGGAGGGATTGCTGTGATCAGGCCCCTTTACAGAGTGTGTTTTCTCTCTCTCTTAGGCCCTCTTATACTCTGGCATTGGAAGAAAGGGAGGAAGGGAGGAAGGGAGGAAGGAAGGGGCACTGTTGTTTTTAAAAAATTTAAAGTTTAGGGGTCAAGTAGGTGGTGTGGTGGTTAAGGCACTGGACTCCCCACATTGTAGATCGCAGTTTGAATTCCAGACCTGGTGGCCTGAAAATCATGCCACATATGTGTGAATGCATGCCCAAAATCCCGAAAGGAGAATGGAGAAGGAAAAAAAAAAGAAAATTTAAAATTTATTTGTGGCAAAGGGACAGGTACATAAATAACTAGAATATACATATATGACAAATCAATGTTATAAGGTGGTCAAGTAAAGCCTTAATGAATGGGTATGAAAATAAGTGTTTCAGTAGTTTAATGAAAGGAAATATCATCATGGAACAAGACATTTGGGTGAGGTTTCCTAGTAGAGATCAGGCTTTG